ACTTGTTATTTTCCTTATTAGACTTGTCATTGGCGACTAAATTGTGGAAATAATATCAATTTTGCTAAAACTTAAGACAAATAGCTTTTCAATACTCGTTGTTTCTCATAGTAGACTTGTCATTGACAATTAAATTGTGAGAACAGTGTCAACTTCTGCTGAAACTTAACTTAATATGAATAGTTTTACAAAACTTGTTATTTCCTATACTAGACTTGTCATTAGCAACTAAATTATAGAAATAATGTCAATTTTTGTAAAAACTTAATTTAATGTAAATAGCTTTACAACACTTGTTATTTCTCATATTAGACTTGTTACTAGCAATTAAATTATGAAAATAATGCCTATTTCTATGAAAACTTAAGTTCACGTAAATAGTTTTATAACACTTGTTATTTCTCATACTAGACTTATTATTGGCAACTAAATTGTGGAAATAATGCCAATTTATGCTAAAACTTAAGTTAATGTGAATAACTTTTTAATACTGGTTATTTTCTATACTAGATTTGTCATTGACAACTAAATTATAGAAATAATATTTCATTCAAAAAAATTATGAAAATAATACCAATTTTTGGTAAAATTTGAGTTAATGTGAATAGTTTTTTAACATTTGTTATTTTTCATTTTAGACTTGTCATTGGTAACTAAATTATGAAAATAATACTAATTTATGCTAAAACTTAAGTTAATGCAAATTTTCACAATTTGGTTGCAATGATAGGTCTTCATTGGGAAATAACAACAATGTCATTACCAAGATAAAAAAACCAATGTGTTTTACAACGACTGTTTTTACAATATAAACAAAATATTCTTTCCTCTCCCCTTAGGATATTACATATGATAAGTTTGAACTAGGAAATTTTTCACTTTTTTGTTTAAGCACAACAAGGATCTCAACAGTTTGATGCTTCAATTACAATTACAATTCAATTCAAGATTTTGTGGCATAAAAATTAATTCAAGATTAATTATTTTAGCGTTGTTCACGTTTATAGATGTTTTTATAAGTAAATTATGATAAGCAATTTAAGCATTTTACAGTAATTCATTTCCTTCAATACTTGCTTGCTGCTACCCGGCTTCAATGACTTCTTGGTGGATATTGATTTTTCCTTTTCACCATCTTTGAAGAGTTTTCTTTGCGGAATCAATGAAGATTCTTTTTTCACGGCCTTTCTTCAATGAAGATTCTTTCTGCCATCACTACACCCAATCTTCTTACACTGAAGATTCTGCTGCCGTCCCCATCTACTTTGGAGCTCCAAATGTTAACCACTTACGAAGTTAAGCCGCTTGGAAATTTTGGCATTGTATGTTAAGGTCTGTGGCTTACGTCGAATATCATACTTGGGGAAGACGTGGTGTCATGGTGTGCTGGGCAATTATGGTAAAACCAGAGAAGAGAAAAGAGGATGAAGAAAGGAAGAGAAAGAAAAGAAGAAAAGAGGAGATAGGGGTGGTAGGAAAAAAAGAAGAAAGACAGTTTGGTCTTTTCATTAACATTTTATAATTATTCAATTTCTGACAACAATTTTGTTAATTCAAAAACCCAAATAGCAATTTTGTATATTTGAGGGGTTTTTTTTTGCAATTTTCCCAAAAGATTTAATTGTTTTAATTTATTATTTTTCTAAAAATTTATCAAATTGTATATTACTTTCACTCCTTAAGATATCAATAAATTAATTTGTGTAGGAAAATGGGCCAGTTCATTTTTGATGGATTGGACCTAAACCCATTAAATTTAAGATTCTGGAGTAAATAACAGAACATTTGGGTTGGAATTGCGAATTTTTTTTTTTTTTTTTTTGTTTAAACTGAAACATAAAGTAATGGTTAACGTGGAGGGAACGGTTATATGGAGGTGGTTTCTGCCAAATGGATAGATATGGGAAAAACTGCCGCAAGTCAAGATATAACTCTCCCTCTCAATTCGTTTTGAGAGCTTCTTTTTCTTCTCCCTCCGATTGCTCTTCCCGTATGTGTATTTGCTGTGTAACTAAGATTCGACTCTATCACTGGACCTCCGTGTGACTATCTGGAACTGTTATACATTTCAGATATGTCCAAATTCATCAATTTGAATAGATTAAGAAACTAAATAAATTATAATGATAATTTTAATTATAATTTAACAATTATCACATTATATTGCATTATTTAATTAAATTTATATATATTTTAGTCATTTTATATCTAAACATATTTTTTAATTAATCATTCAACAATTTTCAATTTTTGAGCATTTTTATAAGCATCAGGTGAGAGTTCGAAAAAAATCAGTTGGAATATAAGTTACTGCTCCTTGCTCAAACGCACCTTGCGTCATTCTCTTCAGCAGCCCTTCTCGCGTTGTCCTCGGTCGCCTCTCCTCTCCAACCGTTGCCGCCGCCGCCGCCGCCGCCTCCTCTGTCGTAGTCAGTCGTTGCTGTCATCTCTCTCGTAGTATTGTTTGTTCTCGTCTTCCCTCTCGTCATGTCTGAGTTCGTTCTCTCCATCTTCGATTTGCATTTTGCAGACTCGGCCCTTCATTCAGGTGAGTGACTAAGTTCGTTCTCCTCTTCGTTTGTCTTTGTAGTTTCCCACTCCCTTTGTTCTTGCTTAATTTTGATCTGTTGGTACACCTAAACAATTGAAATTCTAAACATATCTTGCTTAAAAAAATGGGTTCTTTGAAGGGTAGCAGATAGTGTAATGGGCGGCAAAGATCTGGGAATTTTAGTAGACCCAATTAGATTATTTGAATGTTTGAAGTCCTGGGCTGCTGTTCCTATCTCAGCTACAATTGCTAGGGTCTTCGATAACTGTATTTTGCAATATTATTTGTTTGAATGTGGCGAGGATTATATTATATAACAGGTTATACCTATTATATTTAATGTTATAATAGTCCTTCGATTCCTATCTTAGCTGCTTGATTTATTATTAATGAATTTCAATCTACGAGCTCTCTGAGACAATTTTATCTTGTTTTTAGCATGAAGTTATATGTATGCGTGGTGTTTTAAGTTCATATTACATTTGTGGCATATATAGCATTCAAGTTGAAGAGCAAGAAGTGGAACTATGACATAAATTTGGTGACTTGGGTAGCTGGTTTGCCCTTTGAAGAAGTTATCTAAAATGACCAATGCTCATGTATATTCAATACTAGATGTTTCTAATTTTATTTGACTCATTTATAAGATTTTCTGTGCTGTTCTCTTTTAAAGATGGGCACATTATTTAGTTGCTGTTGTATGGATTAGATTGGATTTGTTGTCCATGTAATGTGTCAATGGGTTTACATCATTCACTAGGGAAGAACTTCTTCCGAAGAAGGGTAAGGAAAGAGAAACTGATTTTGTGTATTAAAAACAATGATGGGTGGTAGTAGCTTTCCATCTTCCGAGAAGATGTATTGCATACTTATTTTGCTTAAGCACTTTTGGTAGAAATGGACCCTTGTGATTTTGTGCCTATAATCCTGGATGCCCTTTAGAAAAGCTATCCAAAATAATGAATGCAGATATTCAACTATCATATATGTATGTATATATAATTTAGTTGCTGGTGTGGATTATTGTTCCTATTTATATAACATACCTATGGTTTTATCTCATCATGTGAGAGGGGAGAGAAAAGTAGAGGACAAATGAATTAAATACAATGGTTTGCTTGACAGCTTGGGTAGTTTTCCACCTTATAAGAGATAACTAATATATAGAAGATTAATAGACTAGTAGATAGATAAATAACTAATAGATAATATATGAGCGAACCCACTGGTACACTTGAAATGGAGTTTTTCATTTAAAAAATGACAATGTCCATGTTTAAAACTTTTATAGACAACACTTTTCCTCTTCTAAGGTCCCTTTAATACGTTGGAATTATTTTGATGGAAAAGGAAATGAATATAGAGATGGATATGAAAATCAAAATAGGTAGGAATATGAAATTTATAAGTGTGATTGATATGTCTTGTAAATGAGACACAATTTTTAATTAAAGTATTTTTTTTTTTTAATTAAAAGACCTCAATGCTATTGGAAAGACCAGGAATCATAGCCTGAGCACAAAGCCGAGCAATCTCAAAGGTGCTGGTTAATTTTTCCGATGATCTTGATTTTATCTATTTGAATTTTCATATAAAATGCATTTTGCAAAACCAGTGAATAAGCTGATTACCATTCTCTGTGATCATGGTGATTTTTTCTTGTTTTCTGAGTAATCTATTTTGTTTCCCCCCTTTTTCTAAAGATTCTAGACGTGGGAATGTCTGGACCTGATTAATGTTCATTCTTTCTGGCCTGTCGTATGCCATGTCTTTCAATTTTTATTTTGTATGCAAATCAAATGCTCATCATTTGTTTTATTTTGGTGGAGTGCTTCCCAGGAAAAAAAAACATTTTTGCTTTAGAAATGGAGAGAGAATTGTGAACTTAGTTTTCATGTAATTGAGGGAAGAAGATCTGGCAGAAATTGGGAAGAAATCATCAGATCTGGCTGAATAAGATCATCATCAGATCTGTATCTTGTTGCCCTCTAATCTCCATCACCAACTTCTAGCTTGCCATATCCGGTCTGCATTTTTCTTTCAAATGATATCTGCCTCTTGCTGTGAAAGCATTTTGTGGAACTGGGTCCCCATTCAAAGCTTCCTGATTAGTTTCTATTTTTTGACCTCAATACTTCTCCACATTGGTTTTTTATGGATTCTCTGGGGGAATTATGTCATTCGCAGTTTGACTGAAGGATTGTAAAGAGCATCTGTTTTGCTGATATGAATGCTAGCAAGTCTGTAAACTCTGGCATCAATAACAAGTTTTGAGGCTATGATTTTGTTATGGAGTATTCAATCATTTCTCTCTTGATTCTAGCTAGGTTTGCAATTCAATTTTCCCTGTTTGATTGCTAATTTTTTGTTTGCAGTTACAGAAATGTTTCTTTGATATCTGAAGAGAAAGAGCAGAGTATACTCTATGAATTGCATACAATATTTGTTTTAGTCTGCACATCACGATTCTGGTAAGTCCAGCTTCCATTTTTAATTTATAACATAGCAAAATTTATATATCCTGTTTTTGTGGGTAATAAAACCCTCTTAAAGCGTCATACTAGTGTTTATTTTCGTGGTTCCTTTGGATTGTTTATACCAACTTTGGCAACATGAAAATATGATGCTTGCTCCAACTGACCTGGTTTCGGACATTGTGCAGCTCCAACTCATTTACTCCAACTCAATCATTTATGTTGTCATTCATGATTGGTCTGTTCATTTGATTTTATTTCAGCTAACAGCTTACTTTAGCTGGTTACATGGATTCACTGAATTATTAATTATTAAATTAATTTAAATGTTGTTCGAATCCAGTTTACTATCATTGTCACTAAAAAAGCAATCACTTGTTAGAACGCACCATCCCTTTTTGGCTGTATCTCATCTCTACAGCTTGTCTAGTGAGCTTTAATACTGACTTCCTTTTTGTTCCTGAGAACATAAACATTTTCAGCAACCTGTATTTTGGTTTAGACCAAAATTTATTGGTCTAGTGTGTGCATCCTTTGGCCCAAAAAATAAAAAAGATTAAGCATCAACAATGCTGTCTAAACACGTTACTAAGTCTTATAAAAGACGTTTTATAGCTATCACAAAGTCATTGTTTCATGACTGGGTTAATATATTTAATTCGTTGCTTCCCTTATTCAGGTTTAATTATCGACACATGGCCAATACACTTTCCTTATATAGGTAATATCCAATTTAACTTTATTTGCTTCAATTATACTTGGTAATGACCTGTTGTCACTATAATTTCCTTGTTAATCAGGACAGTTAAGCGGTTAGGAATTCCTGACGAGAGGATAATACTCATGCTGGCAGATGACATGGCATGTAATGCTAGAAACAAATACCCTGCCCAAGTTTTCAATAATGAAAATCATAAGCTTAATTTGTATGGCGACAATGTGGAGGTGAGTTTTCTTTATGCCTTTCATTTTCCTTGTTCACTAGATAGTATTCTTTGTGTTGGCTTTGGAATTGTCTTGTTATGAGTCTAAATTATATTAACAAACCATAAACTCCTGAGCCAGCTCTGGTTGTGGATTTGAAACTTCCGCATATAAGTAATAAAAAGTAGGAATATATATGCACATATATGTAGCGATATGAGCACATATGCGCACAAGAACAATATAATGAGATAGAAGAGTACAAAGATTAAGGAGAAGGAACTAATCTAACAGCAAAAGAAAGTAGTGAAGGAAATTCAGTGCTCATAACCATCCCAAACAACTTTTCCTTCTAATGTGTAGCCTTCTCGCTGTCTAGAAAGAGGTTATTGACAAATTCTGAACTCTTGTTGCTCATAATGCAGACATCCGAGGTCAAGGTCTTTTGTGGCCTTTGCATCTCACTACTTTTTAGTATTAATCCTACTAATACATAGCTTAAGCAGAGGCTACTCTTTTCTTTGATTCGCTAGCTATGTTTGTAGAAACTAAATGAGGAATTTGAAGAATTTGGGCACAAATATAATATGGCTTTATGATTCATTAAAATAGACATATGCAATTGAGTGATTAATAATATGCGTGATTAAGCTTGTGTCATGGAGGAGTTTTGCAATGATGAAGCTTGCCTGGTGAATCTTGTGCTGTAGTTAATATTGCCTCAATCTTGCATGAAATGTGTATATGTAGACTTCCGTCTGAGATGATGCTAAAAAGATTCATCACTTCCAACATGTTTTGGGGCTATACGCAATGTCTTTTAGAGGATGAACATTTTGCTTCTTAACTTTCAGGTAGATTATCGTGGCTATGAAGTGACAGTGGAAAACTTTTTACGAGTTTTGACGGGTCGTCATGAGGCTGCTGTTCCAAGGTCAAAGCGTCTTCTAAGTGATGAAGGGAGTCATGTACTTTTGTATATGACTGGGCATGGAGGTGATGAATTTTTGAAATTTCAGGACTCTGAAGAGCTCCAGAGTCATGATTTAGCTGATGCTGTGAAGCAAATGAAAGAGAAGCGTAGGTATGAAGTTGTTAGGATCCTGATTTGATTTTTTTAAGATGAAGGGGGAATAATTACGGTAAATCTCTTCTGGATCTTTCAAACGAGAATCTCACTTGATAAATCTCAGTAACCAGGGATAAATTCTATTAAGAATAAGTAAAGTAAGAGTCTCAATCTACACACCCTCAACAGCCGAATCAATGGAGAATAATTTCATTTAATTCAAATAATATTTATTTCTCTGGTATGTTGGCCATGAAGTCTGCCAACACATTTATAATGCAGAAAATATGATCAAATAAGAATGAAAAATAAGTAAATATCCCTAGAATCTTGGAGCTAAGCTAACAGAAAGAGACGTTGGTGGACCTAACAACCTAGAGTTCGCTTAGTCAGTTGATAAATCATTAATAAAACAAATAAAACATATGAGACTCATTCAAGTGTCCTACAAAGATGCAAAAACTGACTCAACCACTACTCCATTCTCCCTATTTCTTCTCTGGTACGTTAATGTGCTGACTTGGAGTCTTATCAGAAATTTATGCAAATTAATTTTGTGACTTTTAAGTTTGATTTTTGAACTTGATATTTGATAAAGTTTTGGATCAAGGGGTGGTTGCATGCTTTCTTGTATGGCTGGTTTCATATGCTAAAGTAATGACTAGTTTTTTGGATGAAGTTTTTGCTTGGCAAATGTTTTATGAAATAGACCATATTTCTAACTATGAAGATTTAATCTATATTTTGTGATTAACGTCATATTTAGTAGTTATTGACATCTTGTGACCTCTTTATGTGGGGCAAAAAAACTCAATCTTTTTGCTGATATGTTGTCTCTTAGGTTTAAGGAGCTATTGATAATGGTGGACACTTGCCAAGCTTCAACTCTCTTCTCACAGGTCTCAAAATGCTTTCTAGAATATGATTTTTAGAAAAATCAAACATGAATTCTCATGAGATGGATTTTTAGAATATTATGTGAAGCTTATTCATTCTCTCATTAAGAGGAGATGATATAGGGAATCGGTCAATCGAAGTATTAATTGCATGATGTTGCCTTTTTAGATTGTTTTTCCATAAGATTACTGTATGTCTTGTGTTTTTACTATAGATGCCTTTGTCTATTCCAATGGGATTTGTAATCATTGGTAAAAGAACTATGGATATTAGGAAGCTTAAACTCAGTATTTGTTAATTTGACTGTGATAGGGTGATTGTAGAAAGAAAGTTGAAAGAGAGAAAAATTGATCTCATGTGAATGCACCAAACTTCTTGCATCTTGGAAATTAATACGTGGAATTTTCAAACTTTTCTGGATTGTCACTTGTATTGTGGTTAAATCTTGGGTCTGGTTGGAGTTTATGGGGCTTTCTTGTGTGTATTTTTGCTTAGCAATGGGCGTCGAAAGGAAAAACTCATCTTCTTGAACTTCTGAAATTGCATGTCATTTCCATGCCCAAAAAATACATCAATTACCTAAGGTATTTAATTTCAAGCTTTGTCGCTAGATTTCTCTTTAGCCTTGTGATCTCATTCATATCATTACCCGTCAACACCATATTATCAACATAAACAATAAGAACTATAATTGTCCCCTCAGTGTTTAACAAATAGTTTATGTTTAGATTGGGATTGGTGGTAGCCCGAACCCCTAATAGCTCGAGTAATCCTCTCAAACCAAGCTTTGGATGACTGTTTTAACCCACATAAGGATTTGTACAGCCTACAAACTTGATGAGAATTTCCAACATTTCTCAAACCTAAAGGCACCTCCATGTACACTTTACATCTGATCATGTTGAATATTGGGACGTTCCATGTACACTTCACAAGCCATGCCATCACCATGTTATTATCAGCACACCATGTTTCAAACTAAGCACTGTCAGGCTTGGAATGTCCTAATATTCAATGGTAGGACAATGTCGCGTGAATACTAGGACATCCCAAGCCCACTGGAGATGGTTGTTGCCATTGAAGTGATGTGTGATCACAGCCTGGGAGAAGTAATCTGGCATGACACTGCATGCCCCGTGTAGTGACAATGGGTTCACTGCATGGCCTCTTGCATTGCAGACCCGATCCGAGCTCTTGTTGATGATGAACAATTGTCTCCATCGTCAACTTTGGAGGCTTGTGGGTGGTTGGTTAGACCTGCCTTGAAACGTAGGGAAGGAGCTCTGAATTTTATTGATAGAGCAACATTTTAGAGGAATAGAGTGGATAGAATACGATTTAATCCCTTGATGATCTCCTAGAATCTCGGAGAATAACAACAGAGATACAAAATAATAAATATGGATATGATATTGGAAGATAATCATTGAACCAATTAAAGGGCAAAACTAAGTTAACACGAGGGCCCATGTGGTGGCAGCAGGCCTACTTCCAACTAAGTCTAATAATTAACAAATTTAACAAAATCTTATCTAAATCCGTAACCACGTATCAGATTGCTTCATAGGTGTGGCTAATATTTGATGCTTTAGGATATGATATTAAAATTTTAATTAGATTTCTTTGCTACTATATTTACACAAAAACTAGATAGGGCGCATGACTTTCCTTCTCAAATACTACTATTAGCTTATTGCTTGTGTAGTTACTTTAATTCCATTATTTAGAGTTTATGAGACAAAATTACGGAAGTTGATGGATGGAGTTTTGCAAAATTCTACGCGAGATAGTTATATGTCTTTGTCATCTCACAAACCTTTGCCTGCTAACTAACCAAATGTGATGTGCTGGATTACATGTAGCGTATTTTGATCCATTTTGACTGTCATGTTGTGAAGAACAAGGGACATGGCTGTACCTAGTAAATTTCTATTTGCTTTTACTTTTAAGTTTCAACTCTCTGTTTACTATTGTCCTGGGCTGACTTGGTACACATCCTTTGCAAGTATTTAAATGTCCTGGTGGTAAAAGGCCAATAGGGCGCATAGATATGTCAAAGCCTGAAATCCTCTAATTCTTTTCACTGTCACGTTGAGAAAAAGTTGTCATTTATTTGTTCTGCTAATTTTTTTCCCTAGGTTGACTTGATCCATTTTCTGAACCTTACAGCTTCATTCCCCAGGTGTTTTGGCTATTGGAAGCAGCATGAAAGGAGAGAATTCATATTCACATCACTTAGACCCAGACGTATATCCATTTTCTAGTATTAACCATCTGCTGCATTCATTCCTGTTGTTAATGGCATTTAGATTCTAGACATAGGCCACAAACTGCTGTGGCATACTCCATAATAATAAATAATTTGAGGAATTGTATTAAAAGAATTTTTTAAAAAATCATGATCAAACAATTTTCAAGCAGTGTCATTACTTTACTAAGTATATTAAAACCACTCATGGGCCTTAACTCCTTAGACTTCTAAGTTGAATTGGTACTTGAAATGGTATCTAAGTCGCTATGAACACGTGATCTGAATTTGATCTTTTCTGTTCCACATTTTCTTGATTGAAATTTTTAGTTCTAGTCACAAGGAGCTTGTTCTTGTTTTACTCTTAAATCTCAATAGGCTTCCATGTAAGGTGTGTTAGAAATTATAATAAAATACTTACGAGTCTTCACTTAAGAGTGTTTGGCCGTCGATCAGTACTTTGTCATGATGCAATTTTTGTGAGATGCACAAAAAATTCGCATCTGGAAAACATTCATTTAGAAAGTTTTAAACGAATTAATGAACATGTTATAAGCTTTTGAGGTGAATTCGTCCTTTATTGTATAAATGTATGGCAACATTCAACCTAAGCACCAATTGACGAAAATAAAACTTAAATGTCCTGATGTTATTAGCAAGAGCTAAGAAAACATCTGAGTAAGTATCTAGCAAAGCTAATAAACTGAACGGACTATAGAGGGTGTGAATGAGTTTACGAAAAAAAAAAAGGAAAAGATCATTGTACTAGCAGTCAAGAAACAATGGCAATCATAAGACCAAACAAACGGTAGGCAATGGCAAAAGCTTGAGGTCTTGAGCAGTTGGCAAATTTCTCTTCACTTGGCAGTTCTGATAAAAATATGTAGGAGAGAGGAGTTTAGAGGAAGGTAAAAGGATAGAAGTTACTTGGTTGAGGATTTTGTTCTATGATGATTTAAGGCCTCTTGATCCTTTGATGGAGCTCTGTTGTTTAAAATCCTTAGTTTTATTGCTGTCCGTAGGAAATGAATTGTGATATTGGAGTGTTTCATTTTTTCTATTATTCTGTTTTATTGTACCTCATAAATGACTGAAGGATAGAATATCCTAATGAATTACTAGCCCGTCAATGGAGAGAGAAAAAGTAGGGGAAGATGGGAGCATATGATAGGTATTCCGCCATTTTCACTATAGTGATTGCAAAATAATAGCTACCACACTTATATTGCATGGCATGGGAATGATTATTGAGCCTGACGAGTCTTGAGTTTCAAGGCAGGGTTCCCCATTTTCAGTCTAGCCTTTCGTCCAATATGGCTAGAATATGGCTACTTTTAATAATGTTGATCCTTCCAATGTTATTGACATGGTTCGTAACTGTGAACATTTTATTCTTGAATTTGGTCTATGATCAGGACAACTAAAATTCACTTGTGTTTTATTTAACACAGGTTGGTGTTTCAGTTGTGGATCGTTTTACATATTATACTCTAGCCTTCTTCGAGAAGCTAAATATGTATGATAATGCCTCCTTGAGCAGGTAGACCATGAGGTGTTTTTTGGGAGTGCGAACATGACTTCTTTTCCTTGTTATGAAGTGTTTCTGTAGCCTCTGTTTAATTTTCTAGTCTTGAATGATCTTCTAATTTTGACGAAAGAAATCTGTTGAGAGATCAATATAGATGAGGATCATTTTGATTTTTCCCTCAAACCAATATGGAAAACAATGAGTTTCAATTTCTATGCTACATGCATCACCCAAACTTCCAAATACTGGAAGATGAAACTGAGTTGGGTCTTCCAATTTGTGACATGATATTGTTTTAGTTCTATTGATTACTGTTGTCCAAATCAAATATTTGATTTTTAGTGGGTTTTACATGTCCAAATGGATTTTCCAGGAAAGTTGAATTCTGTTTTCATGGTTTATAATTCTATGGTCTGTGTAAATGAAAACAAAAGTTTAATTAAGGTGATCGACTCTCATGTTGTGATCTTGGTGAATCCGCCTCTCCCCTTCTCTATTATGTTAGTAAAGATAATTGGTACGGGTTGCTTGGGGGCATATCAAGAGAATTGTGTTGCAGTAGGTAGAGCATTCCAGCGTCATACTCTTTTGATAGTTATATTGCTAACTTGGGGATATTTTGTGTTTATTTTGCAGCCTTTTCAATTCATTTAATCCAAATTTGTTGATGTCAACCGCATATTATAGAATGGACCTATATCAACGTAGTTTGGAGGAGGTAATAATTTTATGTTCTTAATTTAAGGCAGCTGAACTTTTTTTTTTAAATAAATATATTGAAATATTTTTTATGTAGAGGAATTTTTATTAACATTATTTGTTGAGGGGTTACCTACATAATTAACAGATGTTTACTCTGTACAAACTGCTGCTACCTGACATTATTTTACATCTCATGGTGCATCATGGGGTGCAAAACATCAAATAATATTGGCTGTGAATATTGTGTGTATAGTTTCTACCCAACACATTTTATTTTTTTAACTTAACTCTACTCAGGGGCTTATTGTTGAAATCGACTTATAAGCTATTTTCCTGAAAGAATAATAAAGCCATGAGAATCTTGTATACTTCCGTAGGATATGCGTTGTGGTTGCAAGACAGATCTCTTAACAAGATAGACGCGTAAATGCTATACGTGACAGAAATCTGCATCCCGATAAAGTTTGTTTTTGTGTGCTTATGCTTCTATGTAGTAGTTATTACCCTGATGTGGTGAAAATGAGCATTAATCAGGTCTAATTGGGAAGAATTCTATAAGGATGATTTTTTTCCCTCCTTGTTAGGTACCTGTGACCAACTTCTTTGGTTCTGTAATGGAAACATTACATACTGATTCAGCATACAGTTCCCACAGGAGTATAGACGTTGGAGAAGCCAAAATTAAAATGTGCACAGATCAACCAATCTCTCTGGGAGCGACCGAAGAATTTTGAGAAACATGGATAACAAGGATCAAGTTAGTAGTAACTTAAGCACTGAGGTGACTATCATATGCGCCATTAGGATTGGCACATTATTTTGTGCATAGCATTTTTCAAGAGAATGGATTTTCTGTGCAGGAAAATTCACGGCATATCTTTGGACAACTCTGGAATTCTATTGTCAGCAAAGCGACCACACCTGAAAGCGTTGATGCATTTGTGTGCCACTCCCTTCTTTTAATGTTTGCTTTGTTCGTAGTTTCCACATGGCTATCACGCTAAAGGGCTGGAACAACGATTTTGAAGTTGCTCATGCATGCCTTTAATGTTATGGTTACTGGGTATGCGATTTTCTAGGAATATGCTTATAATTGATGGTTTCAGAATGGGGTTGAATTCAGAGGAAGCTGCCTCATGGTTTCAACCTATTGGTTTCTCATTTTTTGGTGCCTTTTTCATGCTGTGGTGCGACCCTGTTGTTCTGGTTATGCATAGTTCAAAGTTTTTTGTATATCTGTTTCTAATTGAAATGGAATTCAATGGACATATGATCAGAAGATTCACTTGAAGCACTTGAATTTCAAACTATTATTCCCGTGGGCCCTGACAAGAAGCTAGAACGGCCATGATGGTTTTGTCAGTTTTTCGTTGTAAAATTTGATGTTCACGGTGGGAGCAGGTAAACTTCTATGGTCTTACGTTTTCTAGTGAAAATTTCTTGATGTGAAGTAAATTTTAGTATGAATTTAAATTACTTTTCCCCCCTTAATTTTCATAAGCCTCAATTTGTTTTTCAAAGTCTTTGTGCCTGTTTGGCAAGGCTTTTACTGGGCTTAAAAGTAGCTTATTTTCATTACAAACCTGATTGGGAGATTGTGGATGTTTGGTTGGGCTTAAGTCCAAAATTAGCTTATCTGTTTTAAACGGTGAAACGTGCGTTACGTCCCAAGTTAGATTATCTAGCTTATTGAAGAGCTTATTCGTGCTTATTACTATTGTGATGTGTCAGAATCTTTATTTTTCTCTGACTTCAGCCATATTCTCTCATTTCACCTCTTTGCCCCCCCCCCCACTTCAGAGCTCTTTATTTGTAACTTGTTTTTCCAAATTCAGAGTTATTTTAAATCATTTTAAATTTAAGATTAATTTCTGTAAAGCTGTTAAAATTAAAACTTCCTCACCTAACATGATAACTCGAATAATTTGATGTTCACGGTGGGAGCAGGTAAACTTCTACGATGGTCTTACGTTTTTCTAGTGAAAATTTCTTGATGTGAAGTAATTTTAGTATGAATTTAAATTACTTTCCCCCCTTAATTTTCATAAGCCTCTTTGTTTTTTCAAAGTCTTGTGCCTGTTTGGCAAGCGTTTACTGGGCTTAAAAGTAGCTTATTTTCATTACAAACCTGATTGGGAGTTGTGGATGTTTGGTTGGGCTTAAGTCCAAAATTAGCTTATCTGTTTTAAACGGTGAAACGTGCGTTACGTCCCAAGTTAGATTTCTAGCTTATTGAAGAGCTTATTCGTGCTTATTACTATGGTGATGTGTCAGAATCTTTATTTTTCTCTGACTTCAGCCATATTCTCTCATTTCACCTCTTTGCCCCCCCCACTTCAGAGCTCTTTATTTGTAACTTGTTTTTCCAAATTCAGAGTTATTTTAAATCATTTTAAATTTAAGATTAATTTCTGTAAAGCTGTTAAAATTAAAACTTCCTCACCTAACATGATAACTCGAATACGTATTGGAGAATTGGCCTTCTGGAATACATGTTGAGAAGATTCCTATGTTTTACTAATGGTTCCTCCAGAAGTGGTTGGTCTTCTTGAACTTATAAATTTTATTTGAATTCTCATCTATACTTTGGGCAGATTTTTAGTAAGAAAGGGATAGTTCTGGTAACTATTAAGTTCAACAATCGTTGAAGATGAGTAAGCCTAAAATCAAGTGCCTAAGTGGTAAATATGATAAATATGGGATTGGAAGAACTATAGGTGAGGAATTCTTTAGAAGAACTATAGGTGAGGAAACATTTGCAATAGAGTGAAATAGGAATTATGAAATTTAATGGGAGAGATAGAGATTTTATATAATTTAAATAGATAAAAAGAATTTTAACAATCATTATCAATGTAAATCATAATTGATATTATATAAATTTATCAATATCATATATAAAATGAAAACCAAAGTTGATGTTGTATATTTAGAGGTATAACTCATTCATTTCAAATTTTTCAGTCAACTTTTTTTCTTAGAAAAATCTCTTAAAAGGACATTTAAATAACTCAAATTTTGATTTTAGTTATTAAATTTATCAAACTTCTACTTAGATCACATGATTTAAAAAGAGATTTTCACTTCTTTATTATATTATCTCAATTCAGTTTTTTTTTTTCGTGTTTCACTTTATATTTAAAATATTTTTTATGATTTTTCTAAAGTTTTAAAATTTAATTCACTCTATAAATTTGACTTTTTCATATTAAATTATTTTAATTTCATTGTATTATGTGAAATCATTTTTTTTAGTCATGTTTTATTATTTATTAAAACTTATACCCATTTTGGTTATTTTACAATCAAACTTACTTTTACTCAACTATAATCCAAACAACGCTTTACTAATATTACTTTTGTAAACTAGCTTTTCTGAACTCTAATTCAAACACAATTAAACTTATCCAATTTAGTTTTTATTCAACTTCACTTTTTCATAAATTACTTTTTCAATAAGTTATTTTTCCAATCACTAATCCAAACGGACCCTTTATCTTGTCTTCAAATCATTGGTTTGTTTCGATGAACTTTAGATGTGTAATATGATACAGGGGCAAACCCGGCTTTTTCCAGAAATAATTTTAACACAATTTTGCTCTTTGAAATTGTTTTTGGAAAAGAGTATATTATAAGTTCAAAAAGAAAAAGAAAATCAATGTCAATATTATTCTAGATCAATTATGACCAAGCTAAAACCTATGCTACTTAGGGCAGATTAACAGTAGGTTGGGCAGCTCGTGTCCTGATTTGTAGCCCTCATGTTTAAAATTACATGACCTGTGATGAACCTGTTTAAGTTAGTTAGAATAAATGGGGGGTTGAGAATAAAATTGTTGGGGGGGGGGGTTAAGTGGGTTATGGTGAATCAAGCAACCAAATCAACTAGATAATTCGGGCATAACAATTTGTCAAAATATAGCTGATAGATTGAGGAAGATAAAAGGAGATGAAAGAAGACCAACAATTTCATAACAAAGACCACAACAACCTTAGATATAGGCACAACTGCATTGATTTGAATTGAGCGAGCGAGCATGAGACTTGCAAGGTAGAGACATGACAGAGAGCAGTGAGCAGATTGAAGCGAAGTCACGGACATAGAGAGAAGAGGTGATAACAAAATGATGAGATGTTGATGTGTTTGGTGAAACCATGAGAGTGGTCGATTGGTCACCGTTGTCGAGATCAAGAGTGGCTCAGCAGCGACAGAGGAAGAGATCGTAATGGTGATGAGAGAGAGGAGAGAATTAGGTGGAGGAGGAAAGCAACAAATAAAAATGATGATGTGCAGAAAGAATTAGAGAAAGGAAGAAAAACAGCGATGGGTGGAAAGGATTGGAGGGGAAAAAGATGGCAATGGTAGAATGAGGAAGCATGAGGAATTTTTTTTTTCCTTCCAATTTTTGAGTTCTGAAGTTTAAATTTAAATGGTATATGAAAGTTGAAAAAAAATTTTGAAGTTGCAAGCCACAAGAACCGAACCTTAGGTATAAGGAGTGGCGATAGGCAAAATTCTTCTACCACTAAACCATGTTTATAACAATCACTAAAGCGTGAAAAATAATATACTCTTCCGGTCCTTAATATAAGACCCATTGAACTAATTTGATTAGATTAAGGAAGTTAGGTAAGTTAGTTAATTATAAGAAAAATGACACATTTTTCTTAAAACACTATAATCATCTTTCTTAATACCCCCTCTCCTTCTTCTACTTGATTATGATTGGGAGAGTATCATGAGGGTAATTTAGAGAAAATTGATAAATATGAGAAATGGGTCTTATATTTAGGACCAAAACCAACTCAAGAATTGGGTCTTATATTAAGGACCGGAGGAGTATTATAATATACTTTTTGCATTAAAAAAATTAAAAAATACATATATATGGACAGGTAAGGGCATTGATTCTACCAGCTCGCTCTTTTACATTCACATGTTTAATATGCTTTTTAGGTGGGCCTAAACGAGTAAAATTTCATAGGGCTGTGGGCAGGTATAATGGGCTATTTGCTTAGTCTTAGTGCTACTTTTCTATATAAATCTTGCTTTTTTTTTTTTTTACTTGAATAAACTTGCATTTAACTAGAGGAAAAATGTGAGAATTGTGTAGTTAAATTTTCACTTTCTTATGTTGATGGAGTCTTCAAAATTCAAATTTAGAACTGAATAAAGAAAAACATTGACTCCTTGTTTGGATGGAAGAAAAATGAGGGAGTAAAAAAAATTAGGAAAGAAAATGGGAGAAGTAAATTTTTCTTTGTTTGAATGAGGGAAGAAAAGAGGGAAGAAAAAAATTGGGAGGAAAATGAGGTGTGAGACTCACTCAATTTTCTTCCCAATTTTTCTCTCCATAAATGAAGAGAAAATGAAAAGAAAACTGTACTTACCCATCTGTCCTTGTCTCGCTAATAAATCTCACTGCACAGTTTTTTTTTTTTTTTTTCCTATTTGGACTTGCCACACAATTTTGAAACAAAGTTGGCTACTACAGTAGTCAGTTTATCCACAATAAATATATATATATATATATATCTCGTTTTAAAATAGAATTTGGTTTGAATTAACAATTTTATCGACCAAAAAAATATGCTGTACTTATTAGTATTGAAAAATAGTATTTTTTTAATTAAATTATTTAGCTTTAAAATATAATAATATGGAAATATATTTGCAAAAACTAATTTAAAATTAGTTATAGTTTCATTTAGTTTTGAATTAGTTTCTTAAGCGCTTTGTTTCCTTTTATATTATGTCTTTTTAGTTTGTGCGGTTATACCACTATTAAATATGAATTAATAGTGTCAAAAATTCTGTTAAAATGTGTTGATGTGACAAAGAATTGGACTATTTTTATTTTAACACAGCTTGGATCTTTCTCGGCATTTACGGACAAAAAATTTTTGCCTCGTCTTAATAGAAATTTTTGTATTAGAACATCTAAAATCAAACTATTATACGATTTATGGAAGTTCAACGATTTATTGACTTGACGTATT